TGCTACAGTTTACTAAGTCTAAAAAAAAAAATCCTGTTGAGTTAGCGCAGAAGAAGATAAGATAGAAAGGGGAATCATTAGAAGGAAGTATTTTTGCGAAACAAACCATTTGTCTTTTAAAATGCTCTCAGAGATGCTAACTGTTCTACCCACAGAGACACTGATTTCTTTGGACCCTGAGGCCGCATTCTGCTCATGTTAAAACACAGAAAAGACTGACATTAATGTTAAAGGAACCTAAATGGACCAGCAACTACCGTATGAAAAAGAAAGCTCCTATGTATGTATGTACTTTTATGTATGCACATATCTGTGTGGAACCCACTGGTAAGTGTCTGTGCGTAATTTCATTTGGGCTCACATCACATGAAGGCCACATCTCCCCAGATCACTTTGGGGTGCGGGAGAAGGGCTTAGCAAGCCAGCTGTGCCGCAAAATATAAAGAAATATAGATCTCCTGAAACCTAGTGCATTGCTTTAGGCAAAAGTCACAGTGCATCAACCTGCTTTTATGGCCTGCCTCACAAAATTACAGCCGGTGACTTAATTCCATAGGCAACAATTAATTCCGTAGGCAACAATTATGCTGGAGCACTGCGAACTGCTCTGCTGTTACTGGGGCCTTCCTGTGCAGGCCGCTTTCTTAGATGGTTCCCTCTGGGCTTCTGTGGCTCCGCGCAGGAATAGGGCACTCTGCACTGCAGTCAGCAGGCTGCAGGTGGCAGATGCATTGCAACTGACTCTATAAATATGTGGGATTAGCATTTTGTTTTAATTCGACAGGGTTTGCCACCAGCAGAAAGATATTAGAAAAAGTAATAGGTCCCAGTTGAAAAAAAATTCCCCAAACGAACTTGAAAGACAAAGGGGAAAAGTCAAGTCTTCGAAGATCTCACATCTGAGTCCTGAGGAAGTTGCATGTCTTGTTCTGGACCCTGCCTTGGCCCTGCAGAACGGGGGAGAAAAAGAGAAGAGGGAGAGGATCACCAAAAGACTGAATAGGATTTAAAGACAGAGGATCACACCTGAGAAAAGGTTTTCTCCTCAAAGTGTTAAAAACTTTAAATGCCCAGCTTTTTAGTTCCTGACTTTTGTAGCCCAATCCAGACACTTCTTCAGTGCGGTGAGAGCGCTGGGGACCTCAGCTTCAGCCCTAAAATCTCCTGAGCACCGAGTAGCTAACTACCGAGTATCAACACAGCTGATGATTAAAACTAGCCAGAATGGAAATCCTGGAGTGAGGTAATTTTATCCCCCTCACACCTCATAAAGCATTGTAGGAGCCTATCTATTTGGGAAATAAAGACCCAAGTTTAACGATCCAGAACTTTGTTGTGAAGGTCAATATTTATGACCTTTAATTTCTAATTATTATCCCAAAGAAGTGAGCAAGGCTTGCCTTTTCTTTTTAAAACCCATCTGGAAAAACAGAATGTAAAAGAAGAGCAATAACGACACTGCTGAGGCAATACACGCAGGAAAAAAGAGGGCGCTGGAAGCGTCAGGCAGGTGATTGCACTCCGAGGACAAGCCAGGAAAGGGGAGCGTGCCGCAGCTCCCTAAGACGCAGCCCCCTGTCCTGCCTCGCCTGCAGAGCTGCTCAGTGAAATCC